TACTGACCCAACCCATCACTCAACTCAACCCATCNCAACCCAACCCGCCTGAAAATGCAACTTTTCAACCCAACCCAATCCGACCCAACNCACGACCCATCTGCACCATCCCAATTTTACCCAACCCAGGCCAATTTTTACAAATGACATTTAAAAAGCAGAACTCAAAAATACAAGATCATATGTGTAATAAAACACACTGGTGAAGTAATCACACTGCAAGTGTAATAAAATAACATGAAAATTAATTAAAAATTAAATGTTACTAATATTTTCCCACAACAACGTCAGAAACATCAAACTTTCCATATTTGGCACCTAACTCAACACAGCTCTGCATCAAATTGAGAAGCCCTTTATTTTCAACAGATTTGTATGAGTGGTAACCATCAACACAGAAAAAGATCTGCCTATGCTTCAACATCGTTAATTCTTGAGGAGACAGTTGAATTTTTCGTTTCAAGCATTGCTGGATTTTCAACTGTGACTTTGGCAAGACTACAGCACAATGTTTAATATGTTCTTGCTGATTTTTAGTGCCAAAGTTTTTACCTGATGAATCTTTAAACTGATATACCTTATTGCACTTAATACAAGCACAATACTCAATAGTAATTCACAGGAATTTCGCTTTCATCATTTTCCTTTTTTTGAAAAACCATGTGAAATTTCTGCCAGATTTCTGATTTTAAATTTGTGGGTGCTTTTAATATATACCACCCTGTTTTTTCTGGAATGAATAAATATTTAAATACTTAAGTATGTTCAATCAATCAATTAAATTTATCTAATGAATGTGATTTCTAAACTTCAACAGCGCCCAACTAAAATTTGAAAAATAAACCATTTCTAGGTAGAAAAAAGAAAGAAAATGAAACATGAATATCAGGTAAATAAGTAAAATGAGCAATTGAGAAAAAATTCTGATGTCTGTAAAGTGTAACTGTAAAGACTGAAGAGATTTGAAATTATGAAAAATAACAATTAAATCTTTAAAAAAGGAATTAAAACATAAAAAATGTAAAAGTGTTAATGTGAAATTTATTAGATTTTTTACTTTCGCAAACT